CTGCTGCAAAAGACCCTTCAAGGGGTTAAAGATATCACTTTGAAGACGAAGGTGTGCCTGATCCAAGCTGTGGTATTTTCTGTTGCCTCCTATGCATGTGAAAGCTGGACACTGAATAAGGAAGATCAAAGAGAAATTGATACATTTGCATTATGGTGTTGGTGAAGAATATTGAATATACTATGGACTCTCAGAAGAGCGAACAAATCTGTCTTGAAAGAAGGACAGCCACAATGCTCCTTAGAAGCGAGGGTGGCATGACTTGGTCTCTCATACTTTGGTCAGGTTATCAGGAAGGACCATTCCCTGGAGAAGCATATTATGCTTGGTAAAGTAGAAAAAAGAGGAAGACCTTCAAAGAGACAGACACAGTGGCTGAAACAATGGAGTCAAGCATAGCAACAATTGTGAGGATGGCGCAGGACTGGGCAGTGTTTTGTTCTGTTGTACTGGAACGAAATCAATGCCACCTAACAGCATTGTGTAATAGGGCAGAGAGCATCACAATGTATTAATAGCTACATGACATAAAATACCATTAACGTTTCCCAGGAGACAGAGTAGATTGAAAAAGGCTAAACAAGCTGTCATATTAAGAGTGGTATGAGTGTTGCCACTACTTAGATGCTAATGATCTTTCTTATTTGAAAAGAAATTCCAATTCACTCATTATGAATTATATACTTTCTCCAAGACAAGTTACTATAAACATAAGAGTTGTGTAATTACTAGAATTTTCTTCCATGATATCCCCACTTAACAGCCTCGCTTTAGTTGCCTAATCTACACTAATGTGTGGCTCCAATTCAGATCTCATATGGCTGGAGCATGACACAGTTTTGAAACATTCCTTTGATACTTTTAGCAATGTAATAGGTATAGTGCTCAGAGTACACTGTATAGAGCAATCTGATAGTGTTTTCAATAAAGGAGCTTTTAAAAAATATCCTCATTGAGAAAACAAACAAAACATAAGAAAGTTTCCAAAACAATGCCTCCTATACCTGCTAGCCCAGAAAAACATACCACACACAATGAGCTCCCAGATAACTTTTATTACTATATAAAAACAAGTCAAGAAAAAATAGATGCTTATTTTTACTAAAAAATAATACAATATTTAGATTATTTAATACTTTTCCTTAAGTGTGGAGAGATAAAAAGACAAAGAGAGAAATTTTAACAAACAATCTGAAAAGGATATTGAGACAATTCTATTTTACAATAACATCCAAAAGAATAAAATATGTAAGAATGAATTTAACTGAGGAGAAAGATTTGTACACTGAGAATTACAAACATTGCAGAAAGAAATTAAAGACCTAAATAAATGTAGAGACATCTCATGATTATGGACTTGAAGACTTAATATTGTTAATATGGCAATACTCCCTCAAAGCAATCCCTATCAAAACCACGATGGTCTTTTTTTGCAGAAATGAAAAAGCTGATTCTCAAATTCATATAGAATTGCACAGGGCTCAGAATAACTAATGATAAAAATCTTTTCTTTTACACTTAAGGTTTTCAAGTATCTTCTTGGGAATAATGAATAATAGTTCTCTCGTCTGTAACTTCCCTATGCGTAGCTATGAGACAAAGCAGTTATAGTTTCCTGTTGGAATTATCTAAAAAAGGATATACCAAGATAAAAATTCTCTTATATTACAATAAGACTAGCATAAAGATTTACGTCTTCCTTGTGCTTTTAGATTTGGCTATTGATGTGGTCCATCAGTACTGTGTTGGAATTTCCAACTCAGCAGGGAGAAGAGCCTAATTAACAATGAGACATATTCTTTATTTTGTCCTTTAGAAAATGGAAACTACTTGTCAGTATTCCTTAAAAAGTGCAATTGCCTTCTTTGTCATTTGATTGTAAGGTCGGAGATTATGTTTCTAAACAGCACAGTTTAAATGAAACCACACAAGTAAAGGAAAGTAAGTGCTTTGGAGGGAGGGTTCAGTTTGACATAAGGAACACAGGAAGCTGTACACTTTTGATGGCATTAATTAAAAAAGTATATTCCCTTGAGTTTCTCAATAAACCCTTTGAGAAAAAAGGCTTTAGTGTTGATTTAGGTGAATGTTAAAATAAAGCTTTCTTTTCTGAAATTAGATTATGGAGTAAGCCAAGCCAGACCATCTCTGCAGATGATACAAGCTATAATTATTTTAGGAGGTTTCAATCACTGTTTTGGAATTGATATCTAAGGCTTTCTTCTCTCCTATTCTTTTTGAGGGCTTTTTATAAGATATTTTGGAGGGAGATGCTTTAGGTAGGAAATACCAGCTTTTGAAAGATAAAGGTGCAATTATCATTAGAATAAAAAGCCCATTAAAAGAAGAGGCTCAAACAGAAAGATTTTCTAGATATATTTTACTATGTATTGTTTTCGTAGGGGCTGAGAAAGAAAAAGAAGTTCCTATCATATCTGTAAGATTACCCTCATATTAGCCCATATGAGAGAGAAAATAAAGGGCTGGCATAAGAGGTGCTCAAATACTTTGCAATGGAGTTATTCTAGTGCCAAAACCATAATTAACTTTCTTGACATATAAGAACTGGAATGGTAGCTTTGATTCTCAGAGTTCAGTCACTGTCCCCTCACCCTCCTAGCCCTCACCAAAAAAAAGCCTGGAATTTCTATGTAATGAAATATCCATGTATCAAAATATGTTTGTGTTTGATGATGCAATAACTCCTTCCATTTAGCACCAAGATTTAGTTTATAGCATGCTCTTACCAGCTACCATTAAGTTGATTCCAATTCATGACAACCCCATGTGTGTCGAGTAGAACTGTGTTCCATAAGGTTTTCAGTGGTTGATGTTTCTGAAGTAGATCAACAGGCCTTTCTTCTGAGGCATCTCTGGGTGGACTCAAACCTCCAACCAGCTGAACACATTAATGGCACCACTCAGAATCTCTAGTTTGTAGCACATTGTACCATATTGAATTTAATTGTGCCTAGTATGTGTCAGGCATTGGGTTAGACACTGGGGATCCTCTGACACTCTTACCCATTTTGGAAATAGAATTTAATTAAATAATAAGAAAACAGGGTTGTAGTGAGGGAATAGTTACTGGGGATAATAATGGTATGGACCTCATAGGGTATTTTTGGTTCTCAATTCACTACTGAGAACCTGAAGCTCCAAATAGTTGAACCTCTAAAATACACTACAATTAGAAAAGACTCGAGCCATTGCCCTGGGGTAGGCAGCACAAGAGGTAGGTCTCCCTGTCTCCATATCCAAAGCTGTTCAGCAGCTAAGATTCTGAAGAACAAAAACTGCAATTTCATTCATTCTGAAAGCTATACATGCTTGTCCCCAAACCTTTCTCTGTCACCAAGACACAATTTTAAGATCAAAGGGGCATTAAGGCAGGCCATGGCTTGTTGGCAGTGGCAGGTTGCCCGTGCCCTATTTCCAGGTACCGTTGGCCCCTTTTCCTTGGTTATCTGGAGCATTTGCCTTGGAGAAGAGAACTAGCAGGACCTCTTTAATGATGACATTCTATTCTTGCAAGTGAGAGTTAGTCAGAGGTGGGTCTAAGTGGGTGCAAATTAGTATAAAACAGAAAATAATAGCATAGTTAAGTGGTTAGGATTATGGATTCAGGAGCCAGACTGCTAGGTTTGAATCTCAGTTCCACTACTTATAAGCTGGGCAACCTTGGGCCAAGTTACTACCTTCTCCAAATATTAGATCTCTCATATATAAAATAGGGATAATACTATTTTCTATTTCACAGGGTTTTTCGTGAGATTTTTACCACTGCCGTTGAGTTGATTCCAACTCATGGTGACCCTATAGGACAGCATAGAACTTCCCCATAGGATTTCCAAGGCTGTAAATCTTTATCTTTCTCCTGCAGAGCATCTGGTGGATTTGAACAGCTGACCTTCTAGTTAGCAGCTAAATATGTTAACCACTGCACTACCAGAGCTCTTTTATCTGGGGATTAAATGTGCTAATATTTGAAAAATGCTTAGAATAGAATACATACAAGTGCTATGTAAGTGTTTTTTAAAATGAAAACAAACTTAGGAAAAAGTGCCCTTTAAAGTTTTTAAAGCAGTTTATGCTGCCTAAGCAGTCATACCTATCCTTATTCTAGGAAGGTCTGGATTCTGGATCACAAAGTACACCAATCCCAAGGAAGCTTTAGGACTAAGTTGAGTTTGGGACAATCTTCTGAGCCAGACCTGAGAATTTTCTTCTGTCACCAAGGGCTCAGTCACTGCTCTAAAACACTCTAATAGAAGTCTGGTCTTCTATCTGAGACCAAACCAGCTGGAGTGGAGAAGGGGGAGCAGGGGTAGGGAGAGTACTTTACAGTTATTTTCCTTATTTTTTCCCCTGAATTTTAGTCATGGTATCTGTGTACATCAGTAGTCTAAACCCTGTCCCAGAGATTCATGATCTGACTCCAAGACTTTAGTACTAGTGCTACCTAGTTCTAGACTCATTTGGGTCCCAGGAAATGTATAAATGATCAGAGCTCACTAAGTTGCCAGTTTACCAAATTAGCCAACAAATAAACACATATTGAGCATCTATTTTGTGTAAGGCACTATGCTAAATGCTTTGGTCTTCAACAAGAAAAAGGTAACATAACCACAGTTTGTATCTGCTATTATTTAAATGATCATGCCCTTTTCAATTCAGGTAAGGTCATAGGTCTAAATCAATATATACTCTTTCAAGAAATCCTAGTTTAAGGTTAAAGTAAATATTGGTACTGTGTAGCTCAGCCATCTTACGGCTAAATGTAAGGAGCAGTGGTTAGGTGCTTGGTTGGTAAGCTAAAGGTAGGCAGTTCAAACCTACCAGCTGCTCCACAGGAGAAAGATGTGGCAATCTGCTTCTATGTAGATTTACAGCCTTGGAAACCCTAAGGGACATAAGAATCATATTCAGTCGGATAGGGTTGCTATGAGCTGGAATCCACTGAACAATCATGAGTTGGGTTTTTTTTTTAACCTGTGGGACTACAGTATTTTACATGGTAGACCTCTGTCCAGCATCATCAAGGGTGAAGTTTCTTTTCCTTGCTGCTACTTCCGTGTTTAACTCTGAATCCAATTTGCCTGTGTGGTTCCCAGCGTTTATTGCCACAGATCCTTCTACTCCCTCTGCAGTGCCTCCATTCGTCTGAAGAAGAATAGAATTTGGTTCTTTAGGACGTTTCCATTGTGGTCTGGTGACTATCCAAAAAATGAGGGCTCCAAACACCAGAATCAGAAGGCCAAGGGTATTTGTGAAAATACCTTCTGGTGGGAATGAGCTGTATGCAGGATTTTTCCTACAAAAAATATGAGAGTGTGTATTCAATTACAAATAGGGTGACATAATAACATTCAAAACAGTATTAAATTTGATCACATTGCACAATGGGCAAGGTGCAATGTAAATTCCCTTAAAGACTGAGATTAAGGAGAAATTTAAATTATGCTATAATCCAGTCAATGGAATACTATGAAATTGTTATTAAAAATCATAATAATATGATGTTCATGTAACATTTTAATATAGCATCTGAAACTTCTGTATCATTTAAGAATTGTAAAATGTATGAAACAAATTTATGTATACTTTAATTACAATTAATATAAAAACATGCACATCAAAAAGACTGAAAGGGAATGCTTGACTTCGATACTTGTTTTGAAAGGGTGTTAGAATCTGTTGGACTTTTTGGTCCTTCTTCCAGGCTTTTAATAATAATAATTCATTATGTGTATAATGGGAGCTCTGGTAGCATAGTGGCTAAGGCACTTGACTGCTAACCAGAAGGTTGGTGATTCAAACCCACCAGCCACTCCTCGGAAGGAAGATGGGGCAATCTACTTCCGTAGTGATACTGCCTTGGAAACCCAAGGAGGGGTTGCTATGAGTCGGGTCCGACTCGACAGCATATAACAACGACAACAACATGTGTATAATATAATGACAAATTTTTAAAACATCAGTATTTTTATTTTAAAATTATATTTATATTACATTTTCCAAAGAATAAGTACTTAACATATTATACCTGAAGTATTACAATTAGGAATACTATATAACTTACAGGGCAAAAATCAGTTTTTCTGTCAATCCCATAAGTGTTGTTGCAATCACTGTTCCAAATAGTAGAAGCCCAGAATAAACGTGTATGGGCATGAGAATTGCTCGGAGAGAAAGTGGAGCCACAGGAAGCAGAAAAATGAAAAAACCTAAGAGAAGCTAAACACAAAAAAGGTGCAAAGGGTTATCATTTAATTTTAAATTATAACTAAATTTTAAAAAAATTTATTATAAAAGCAATATGTCGCTATGAGTCAGGGCTGACTCAACGGCACATAACAACAACAACAAATGTACAAAATGAGAAAACCTTTCGTAAAGAAGGGCATAAAATGAAAAGTAAGTTTCCCTAACCCCCAGTTCCACTATCCAAAGGTAATACTTGTTACCACTTTCTCACATTAAGTGCTAGGTTGCTAACCTAGAGGTTGGCAGTTTGTATCCACCAGCAGCTCCACGCGAGAAAGACATGGCAGGCTGCTTCAGAATCAACTCAATGGCAGTGGGGTAAGCATGTATCCTTCTAGAAAATTTCTATCCCTGTACAAGTATAGCAACAACAACAACAACAACAACAAAAATCCCGTTGCCATTAAGTTGATTTTTACTCACAGGGACTCTATAGGACAGGGTAGAACTGCCACCATAGAATTTCCAAAGATGTAAATCTTTACAGGAGTGGATTGTTATGTCTTTCCCTCAGCTGGTGGGTTCAAACTGCTGACCTTTTGGTTAGCCACCAAGCACTTTAACCACTGTACCACCAGGAGTCCTTGTTATTCAAGTATGTATGTCTTGGTTCTCTAGTTCTGCTGTAACAGAAATACCGCAAGTGGATGGCTTTAACAAACAGGGGCTTATTTTCTTACAGTTTAGGAGGCTAGAAGTTTGAGTTCAAAGTGCCGGTTCTAGGGGCTGGGTGAAGGCCACTCTATCTATGGCTTTAGCTCTGCCTCCTGTTCCAGGCCCACTGGCATTGGAGGCTTTTTCTAACTCATACAGCTGCTGGCTGCTGAAGCTGATAAGCCCACAATGGACAGGTAAAATGGCATAGTCCCAAGATCAGCAGGCAAACATGGCAGACCACTGGTTCAAGTCCAGAAGCAATCCCAAGATCGGTAGGCAACTTGGCAGCCACTGAGATGAAGACTCAGCCAAATGTAGGATGCAGATGTACCAAAAGTTTGAGACCTTTCCCAAAGCTTGTCCTTATATACCGGAAGCAGGCCACATCCCAAAGGCAGCTCCCTAGTTCCTCACAGCAGATTCCACCATGAAGGTGATTACAGTTTCATCATGGGGAATTACTGCATCCACCTGCCCAGCCATTCAAAACCACGACCCAGCCAAGCTGACACACAACTTTAACTACCTCAATGTATGTATATGTGTATATATGTATATGTATATAATAAATGGGATCTGTTGTGGTTACCTAGTGACACTCTGACAGGAATATACCACAAATGGGATGGCCTTAACAAGCAGGAGTTTATTCTTACAATCTGGAGGCTTTAAGACAAGTTCAAAGTGCCAGGCTCTAGAGGCTGGGTGAAAGCCCCTCAACCTTGGTGTCCAGCTCTGCCTCCTGCTTCTGGCCCACTGGAGCTAGAGGCGTTTTTTCATTCACACAGCTGCTGGCTGCTGAGGCTGAGAAGCCCCAAGGTTGACAAGCAAAAAGGCTCAGTTCCTACGTTAACAAACCACATGGCAGGCCATTAACTTAAGTCCATTGTAAGTCCCAAGGTCGGCAGAGCATAGCAGGCTGCTGGGCAACAACATGTCTACATGCAGGGTCCAAGCATGCCAAAGGCTCGAGACCATTCCCAAAGCTGTTTCTTATACACAGGAAGCAGACCACATCCCAAAGGCAGCTACTGAGTTGCTCACAGTAGATTCTACCATGGAGTTGATCACCAGTCTCATCATGGAGAATACTACATCCAGCTGCCCAACCACTCAATCAGGCCTAGCCAAGTTGACACACAAACTTAACTACCACAGGATCTTACTACACTTATTCTTCTGCATCTTGTTATTTTCTCTTAACAGTATATCCTGGAAATTTTTCATATCAACACATTTATCTAGTTTATTCTTTTTGGTGACTGTTTAATATTCTATTTTAAGGATGTAGCATAGTTTATTTATTCAGTTTTGTATTTATAGATGTTTCTGTTTCCAGTTTTTTGTTATCACTAACAAGGCTACAATGAATGTTCAAGTACTTACTTGTTTGTTTTTATCTATTTTCCAAGACTGCTAAGTAGGAAGAGAAGTAAAGGAGTTTTTAACCACCAAAACCAAGTAAAAATAGACATAATTTACTAAGTTCAACCTTAAAAAGTCATGTGGAACAAAGTAAACAGTTGTGTTCCATGAAGAACAAATGGGCTCTCCAGAAAAGTTATCTCCATTTCTTTGATAATTAAATCCCCAGTGGGGTACTTCTCTGCAGTAGAGTCAGCAAAATTCATATATAAACTGAAGTCATAGGTGTCAGATGTTCACAGTTTTTGTTTTGTTGCCCCACATTCCCTGCCAGTTAAGGATTCTCTTCAAGAAAATAAATATGATTTAGTAGCTAATGAATTACTGAGTCTAAAAGGACATTTCTCTCCCACATTTCTGTTCGGTCCCTGGGTAGCACAAACAGTTTGAGCATGGCTACTGACTGAAAAGTTGGTGGGTTGAATCCACCTCACAGCATCACAGAAGAAAGCATTGGTGATCTACTTCCATGAAGATTAAAACAAACAAACAAAATAAAAAATATTGCTGTAAAGTCGATTCAGACTCATGGTGACCCAGGCATTACAAAGTAGAACAGCTCCATGGCCATAACCTTTACAAAAGCAGTTCATTGGTCTTTCTTCCATGGAGTGCTGGGTGGGTCAATGGGAATGCTTCCCTATGGACATGTTGTACTTTCTATACAAAATGTGTTGTGAGTAAGTGACTATCAGGAATTTAGCATGAATATATTCTGTGATTAAGTCACCATATGTTTTCTGTGACTTACACAAAGAAATATACATTTCCCACATTCCTGCTCTCTTGCCTTTTTTCATTTCTAAGCTTCTGTTTTCTCTCATTTCCTTCATGTTTTATCATGTGTATTTCCTGTAATCATGGGCTCAATGATCTAAGCAGGTGGGCCATCAGAAATTTGTTTACAGGGTCCTCAGGCTATTCAACTCCCCTAAATCTTACTTTCCTTATTAACATTTTTTTCTACCATGAGAAATTTTCTTTTAAAAGGAGACTAAAAAAGTTACCATGGAATGCTTAATTTGACTAAAAATACTCCAAATGAACTTTTGTAAACATTTTCAAGATAGTCTTCCTATATTTAATCCTGTTCAGCTTCCAAACCATCTCCCACACTGGAGCCAGATGATATTCTTAAGGTGAAAATCATATCATGTAACTCATTTGCTTAACTTCTTCTGGTGGCTTCCCACTGTTCCTAAACTAAAGCTTAGATTCCTAAATGTGCCTCACAAGCCCACTGTCCATGAGGATGTGTATTGGCTAGAATACAGCATACGGGAACCCTTACATACTGCTGGCAGGAATGCAATTGGCATCAATATTTTGGAAAACAATATTGCAATATCTTATTAGGTTAAACCCGCAATTCCACTCTTAAGTATATGCCAAGAGAAACCCTTGCTCATGAGTACCAGGAGACATCTAGATGGTTGTTCAATGCAGCAATATTTGTAGTAGAAAACAATTACAAATAACACAAATGGAGAATGAATAAATACATTTGTGACATATTCATGCAATAGAACACAAAAGTAAAAATGAATGAACTACAGGTAAAGAAATTAATATAGTTCTATCAATAGAGTGAAAACAAAAGTCTCAATAGAATACATAGTTGTTGGTGTTATTTGCCATCGAGTTGGCCCCGACTCATAGTACATGTACACAATTAAAAAAAAAAAAATAAAGAAACCTAAACACCACCCATTCCTCATTTACCATCATGATTAGGTTCCAGAGACCAGGCCATTATACGAAAATCAGTGTTATGTGAAATGGACGATGAACACATCAGATCACAAAATGGAAGATCACTACATCATTACATAACTGTGAGACTGCATCATTATATAACTGCCAAACTGCTGAGAATCATGGGACAGCCAAGTTGACATATAACCTTAACCATCACAACCAGTGTTAATCTCACCTCACACTTTGGCATTCTTACTGCCAGACATACATTGTTAATGTGCAAAATAGAGAGTAAATTTTCACTATTGTTATAAATATTAAATGTCAGATAACATGATAGTTGATAAATGAGGAGTAGGTGTATATTGTTTGGGGATTCATAACATGGTAAAATTGGAAAAAAGGGAATGAGGAAAAAAATTCAGGAGAATGGTTACTTCTATGGGTTGGGGTAGATATAGAGATAAGGGATCAAAGAGGATTCAGGGGACTTCCACACTTTCTAAATTAGGTTAGATGGTGGAATCATGGGAGTTCATTTTATAATGATTAATAACTTCTACATATATACAATAATGTTGTTACTATTTTCAAAATGACCCAGAGCTAGATTTCACAAGTGGAAAGAATGTTAAGCTAGAAATACCTTATAATCCATAGATCAGCACACAGAAAGAAGACCTTTGGGCTCTTTTTGGTTGTATCATTTGATTGCTTGTTTCCTTCTGTCTTAGTTATCTAGTGCTGCTATAGTACACAAGTAGGTGGATTTAAAAAGCAGAAATTTATTCTCTCACAGTTTAGGAGGCTAGAGGTCTAAATTCAGAGCATAGCTTCTCCTTGCTAGGTGTTGTCGAGTCAGCTTCAATTCATAGCGATCCTGTACAATACAACAGTACACTGCCTAGTCCTGTGCCATCCTCACCATCATAGCCAGGCTTGAGCCCATCATTGCAGCCACTGCGTCAATCCATCTTATTGAGGGTCCTCCCCTTTTTTGCTGACCCTCTACTTTACCCAGCATGATATCCTTCTCATGTTTCCTTCTGACAACATGACCAAAACATGAATAATGATGGCTGGCTATTCTTGCTTCTAAGGAGCATTCCAGCTGTACTTCCTCCAAGACAGATTTGTTTGTTCTTCTAGAAGTCTAGTCTAGTATGTTCAGTATTCTTTGCCAACACCAC